CAGCAGGACAGATGCTTGACAACATGCAATTTTTCATAGAAGGGTTGTCATTCCTTCTTCCAACACCACCCCACTGCTTTCATCATACATCTCTGAATATAACTCTTTTATATTTATTTTAGTAAATACCACGTTTGTAAATATCACGTAGTTCACAGACTAAAACGTGGGTGAATATTTGAGTTTAATTGGTAGCAGAAAAATGAAGTCAAAGCGGGACAGCCATGTGTCTCTTTCGTTAGCAGATAATTTAAGGGGTGTTACAAAATTTTGTTAACACGTTAGTCAAAAGAAATTAATAAGCTGAGAAATATAAATGCCAGCGAGGTCCGCTGATTATAAAGATGCTTTATTGCTTAATTCACTCGAGTTAATTTATCAAATAGGTCAGACGAAGAATCACAAAAGAAATATTTTCACCATTCAGCTGTACTGGGTATTGTGATAGCACAGGAACACCCACAGAACAACTACAGGCATAAACTGATCAGCAGTGTTAAGTCACTGGAGTAACTGGTAAGTAAACTCAAATGACCACAGGTTGTTGAGCTGATGAAACAGTCTTGCTTCTGGTGTACAAACAAGATTAGGGAAGAGTTTCAGTTGCTATGGCATTTTTGCGCTTTTAAAAAGATTAAACATAAAAGATTAGAAATAATCAAGTCTGAGCCAATGTTTAATTTATTTGTTGGCTTCTTATCTGCTGAATATTTATAATAATAGTGTGGTAAGCCCCAATGTAATCCCTGAGAAAATTACAGTAATTGGGTTGTACTCTTTTGAAAAAAATTCCCAGTTGTGATTTTGAAACCGGTTAACTTATTCGCCAGTTTGAAAGTTGCATTTATTGCTGAATTTTTAAGATTAAAGGAAAATAAAAATGATGTAAGTCAATGCAATCTGAAAAGGTCTTGCATGTTTAAAGTGGTATGGCGTGGTGAAGACTGGTGATGCTGATGGGAGCGATGGAAACCAAAGCTGCAGGTGAACTGGGAGGTGTAGTAATGTAACTACCTCCTGCAACTTTACATTCTGTCCAATCCATCATCAGCCATCTTCCTAGCTTCTTATGGACATTCAGGTTAGACACAATGGCAGAGGGAAATCACGACCGATAACTTCATGGTAGATTACTTTAATATCTGCCACAGTAGCCAGGGAGGCTATATCCTAGAATCATTCATTAGTCAATGAAGCCGTGGGCCACTAAACCAATATGGCGTGCTAAAGCAGAATGGATGTGTTCCATGGAAGCCTTGTCGGTCACAGCATAATTTAATCCAACCCTTAGGACAAGCATGTCTGAAGAGAAATGGAAACAAAAGTCAGAAATAGAGATTTGAAGGAGTGGATGAATTATATAATCTGTTGCTAAGCCCCATCTAAGCTCCCAACTCTGGAGATTTCCATTTTTCCCTCATCTCATTTAGTAGTACCATCGATGCAAATTGGCTATAAAAGCAAAGGAAAATTTGGTTACTTTAACAGAAAAATGACCAAACACCTGGTTGCTGAAAGGCCTGTAGAATGGATTTCAGGCCATCTGTTTTGTGAACAAGCTTTATCCATTTACCAGGGAAACAATGGCAAACATTAGGGAGCCCCTGTTTTGTTTTGTTTGTTTGTTTGTTTGTTTTACTCCAATTTCTAAAGTGTAATGGAGCAGGGATGGAGTGAAATACGTGAAATGAATAACGGATAGAAGTCTTGGCTGGCTGGCAGGTTATTTACTTCATAAAAGGTGCCAATTTAGAAAACAGATCTCAGCGTATAGACCTTGCTCAGCCACACTCCTGTCTCTGAGAAAAGAAGAAAACATAAGACACAGGGGTCTGAGCCTCCTAGACTGCATAAGCCATAGGCCAAAATCTTCAGATAAACAGATACACGTATAGCATGGCCTGCAAAATTTAGCACGTTAATCAAAGTTTTTCTCATGCATTAGCCCACAAGGTGCACAAACCTTTCACTTCAACAGCTGATGGAATAATAATTACACTTTGTGGTATTGCACTAATGTCACCCAGATGAGAGCATAACCGTGCTTCCTTTTTCGAAATATGAGTGAATAATATGTTTTGAGTGAGTGCCAGTGACTGCCTGACAGTGACTCCTCTGTCTTTCATGTGCTCATATTCTGTGGTGGTAGGACAAACTCAATTCCACTCTGTCACCTTGCTTTGATAAAACCTAATTTCCCTGGGGCTTCGACTTCATGAACTCAGTTAGGCTCAGCACCTACAGTATGCCAAGAAGCAGACAACTTAACATCTAATGCGACTCGAGTAGGGGCATAACATAACAGGGCACTCATTTTTGAAGGATACGGTATTGTGCAGCCGGGGAAGTAAGCCATAACTTTCAAACTGTCTCAATTCAAGTCCCCTGTGAATTCCATTGCCATTTTAGGGAAGAATTTTCCACAAGTGATGAGAGCAGCTTGAAAAGCTTGGCTGAAAGCAGAGCATGAAAGCATCTGCTCAGATCGCTGTAATGCCACTCGCAAAGATCTGTAGTGAAGTTGTAAAAACATGGGCGAGGGATAGTGTGTCTGTGTCTGTGTGTGTGTGTGTGTGCGTGCGTCTGTCTCTTACTCTTTTGTATTACAAAAATATTATGTCAGGAAAAGGCCTTTTTTTAGTTATTTTTTCCTCTTTGTAGTTCTTTGGTTTCTTAAGTATCCTTTCTTGGGTTTTTGTTCAGATTTTGGAAATACAGGACACAACACTACAGTACTTCTACTATTGTCACCTCAAACCAATGTAACACTTTCTCAGTGAAAGAATAATGAAGCTTTTTTTGTCCTGATCCGATGAGTATGAAACTGAAACAGTCATGAGATTTCAACAATCTCTGGGAGATTTTAGGGCATTGTGTTTGACACTTACTGTAACTCCACCACCCTTAAAAAAAACAAATGAAGGAATAGCTTTTGGTATAATGGTGTTACACCCTTCCAGCTGAGTTCCAGATTTTGAGAACTCATGCCAAAGAGACTTTAAGCTGTTCTGTCAGAGTATGGTGGCCTGACATCTTACTACAAACACGGTTAGTTTTGTCACTCATCTGTATATGTATGTTATGTGCAATGCAATCATGGCGTGGACTTACAGATGTAGTAATATTCTCTGCCCGGTCGGAATTCAAAGCCCAAGGAAAAAGGAGTGAAGAGCTGGAACTTCTCTGAAAACTTGAGCGGTCCATTCGGGGAGTGTGGTCTGTTGCACTCCCAGCGTTTGAAGCCCTTGGCAGTGTGGTCGCATGTGCTGTAGCCATCATAGTTGACCATGTAGAGGACGTAGCGCTCTGTCCGCTCCTCAGGCACTGTGTCTTCGTAGTGAGGACAGTAGACATCCAAGTAGTCATTTATGCACACATCAATGTGGTAGTCCCCACGATGGAACCTAGGTAGAAAAGAAAAGAGAGACAGAAGGTAATTTTTAATATATTTATATGGCACACACAGACCTACTATTAGACCAGTCTAATAATCTTAATAAAACTGCATGTTGGTGCATCAACATCTTCAGCTTTTATGGACAAATGTTTGTCTGAATTCAGCACATCCAGGTGCAGAATGTAGGTCTGATCTCCCAGCACTCCTTCAGTGCTATGCAGACATTTGTAAGCACCAGTGCTCTGTTCCTCTGGCTTCGATAAATTTATGTGGGTTGGTCTGCCTTCCGAATGATAGCAAATGACAGTAAAATCCAATGCTGGGACATTTTGCTTACAAGAGCACAGTTTTTAGGTCTCTTAAGAAAAAAAAAACATTTACTTGAAAAGTTTTTCCACCACAAAGAAACTAAAGAAAAAACCCACTGAGATAGACAACCTCAGGCTAAGTATAATGTAGAAATTATCAAGGGAATACAGGATGGTTCAGACAGTAAATGTCATGAAGGAAAAATACAGAACCTGGCTGTCTCTGAGGGCTATGCAGTGTGGCATCTTTACGGCTACAATGGTCTAGAACAGGCCACACATGGACAGAGGGCTTCAACACATACAGGCAGATTCATCAAAAGGCCACACACTGCCACAAGCTTATATCTATCACATACACTGGCACAAACACAGTCTCTTCAGGGTTGCTCACAAAAATCTAACCTGTGGAATTTTTACACTTACCAAAATTACAGAGCAGTTGCTGTGTTGTGAGTTTAAGTCCATAAGGTGGTTTGAACCTAACCCTGAGGTCACAGAGGGCTTTACAGAGAAAACACTGAACACATGCAAACTTGCTAGGGATGCCCTCAATTTAGCACACACATTTGAAGCACTCAGAGAGTAATGATGCAAACAGCCAAGGTGCACAGGTGTACATACACACACCTGATACCCAGCCAGAGGAGGCCAGGTGGAGTGAGTTTATAACTGAGTCAGTCTTTAATGTTGTAAAAGTGCAACCTGACAAGAGTTTTGATAAAACTTTTAATTGAAAAGTGCCACTGCTGTCTATAGGAAGGACTCCTCAACCCCCAGAATGCACAAGGGGCAGAGCGTCTAACGGGCTAAAATAATTTTATCCCGAGGACTCCGGAGCCTCAGGATTAACACACTAAAGCAATAGCCTTGCAGTATGATGCAATCTTTTCTGTCATGTACAAAATGTCTATTACATCAAGAGCTAAAGAAATTCCAATTCATGACTCCTTTGAATGGTGGACGGGTGTTATAAAGAACACTATTTTCTAAAACAGTCCTTACAGTTGGTCTAAAAATACAAGTGGGAAAAAATATGGTTTTCATTGATTGGCACTGAGACGTCTTCAGATACTGATGAAAATACTGTGCTGCACAATGGTTTAAAAATGTCTCTTTCTCATCCTCATTTTCCCCGTCAGTCTCTTTCCACCCACGTATTTCCTTCTTTTCAAAATTACAGCTCTGCTTGTTATTTTAATGTGATGTTTGATTTCTGACTCTAAAGAATGGATTTTCAAAGATCAAATCACTGTATATGTACTGAAAACACTTACCCTGCTTGCCTGCATTTATTTCAATCTCCAGCATGTCTTGACAGATTGTACAGAATTACAATCACAATGTGAACCAGACCACTTGTTCTGAAGATCAGATAGCAATTTAAACAAAATCGAATTTTGGAGCCTTCCCTTGTCACTTAATTCATATTGGTATAATCAAATGATTAATGTAACAATCAAGCGACAAATCGAACCACAGTCATTTCTTATTACTGTGATCATGTGTGTCCTCTGGCTCTGCTCCCTGTGCAGGCGTGTGTATGTGAGCATGAGCTAGCATGAAATGTTATTCTTCTGTGTTTACCCATGTAGGGTAAATACCAGTGTGAGGGTGTTTACCACAAAGCCATGGAGTAGCTCATCTGTAACATCTCATTTAAAACATGTCGGTAGATATCCAGGAAGAGCCATGCTTCTCCCTCACTGCTTTAAAATGTCACTGACTTAATGGTCACATCCTCCCATCTACTGGCCACACAATCTATGGGTGTGTACGTAAGAGAAAGCGTGGAGAGAATGAGTGTGTGTATGTATACACGTGTGTGTGTGTGTGTGTATGTGTGTGTATGAAAGGACCAGTGTGTGTGCCCTTCTCTCCCTGCCTCAGCAGTCAGAATAGTGGCTCATGGCTCTGACTGCAAATGAAGCAGAGGATGTTTGGGGGAGCGAACACATAAAAAGAGACAGGACAGGCATTTGTAACATATAACGCTCACACACACACATATGCAACAAACACACACACAGCACAGGTCTCCACATACATACAAACCAACACAAATACATTAGGTTTGCGTTATCAGTTCAGTAAGCTCCCTGGCACGTTGGCAAAGGAACAGTAGTGAGACAGCCAGAAGCTGCTAATGGCACAGAGTGAGAAAGAGAGTGAGGATGAGAAACAGACAGGGAGAGAGAGAGAGAGAGAGAAAGGACCAGGTTCCAAAAGAGAGAAAGGGAATACAAAAAAGAGGCAGCAAAACTGAATACTGCAGATAGTATTGCCCAGCTCCCAGTGAATCCAGACTTGTGCAGGAGTTATTCAACCATGCATTCATTATTAAAGGAGATTCTACTACAACTATATGAGTATGACATGACTGTGTGCAGCCAAAGCTGTACATTTTCTTCAAGTCTGTTCAGTCTTGGGCTGTCATCAAAATGTGTTCCAGAAAACTTCTTGTATTTTGTAGAAGGCTGGTTATTGTCCTTACAAAAACCATGTTATCAAGGGACTAATGTGGGCGTTCTAGATGTGGCTGGTGCCTTGTTTATAGCACTTAATTGGCTGCTGCTATTTTATAAACAGCCCCCCCCACTTTTCAGCAGAAAGAGGAAAAGGGTTCTTCACCATGAAATAGACGTGTGCTGTTCAAGCATACACCAGCCTCTGTGTAGCATACACAGAGGCTGCATCATTGCATTGGTGCACCAAGAGGATGAACCAATGGAATGTAAATCAAGGCTGTGCTCTGTTAGGATCCTAAAGAGTGAAATATAAACAAGAAAGATGATACAGTAACACTGGAGTCAGTAGAAGAGAGAAATCGTAAAAGAAAGTGTAAGATCAACCAATTCATGTGCATAAAAGAAAATGTCATTTAAAGCTGCATCATAATTTGTGGCTTTGTGCATGGAACACTGTGCAACCAGAGTAATTACAGCTTTTCTCACTGTTCCTTACCTGTTACTCTCTACAAAAGGAGGTGGCAGCAGTGTGCCACAAGCTCATCAGAGGTGTTGCTGCTGCTCTGTGGGTTGGACCTCATTTAATTTTTAGGTAACACAATGTTTATAGTTTAAATGAAAGAGAATTGTCCCTAAACTAAAGTCATTACTAAATGTAAGCTTAAATTTTTAAAGCAAGAGGCAAAATTATTGTGAGTTTGCATATTACTGACAGAAACATTGGAAAATAGAATAAATGTAATGGGCGTTTTAATTATTATAGGTTATAATTAAACAAAGACAAATTGCTCCAGTGGTAAACTCTGGAATACAGTAATAGCTTACATGTTTACTTATATAAATGTTCCTGAAATGAGAGCTAAAAGCTGGTACAAATTACATTAGAATGTTTCCAGATAGAGTTGGCACCGAGTACCTCTTGCTCTGCCCCCAATGCCACACACATGCACACACTACACATGCACCAGCGCAATCACTTCCACGTATTTTACAACCTATAACAACGTCATGATCAACAATCTTTTCCATTCGAGCAAGAAAAGAGTAGCAGCAGAGAGCATCAGTGAAGGCCTTCTTCCAGTAAAATAGGTAATTAAGGAGCAAAGTTGGATGGCAGGATAATTGTCAAATGGTGATAATTACATGTCTTTGTTATGCCACAGCTGTCCCACTGAGCTGTGGGTCACAACACAAATTCAGGGAAATCAGCTGGACACAGAGCATGGGTACGTGTGTGTGTGTGTGTGTGTGTGTGTGTTGGGGGTTAATGAGTGGCTGAGTGAGAGAGAGAGGGAGATCATTTTTGTTACCAACTGATTACATTTTTCATGCTTTCTCAGGTCCTCAGGGCTGAATCTGTAGGGCCAAGTATTGTCAGCACACACACAAATACACAGAAACAGTTGCACATGCAAACACAAACAGAGAGAGTTTGGAAGCACTGCAACAGTGAAGTGAAAGCAGGGGAAGGTGGCACACCAGTGCAGTCGCTGATTGGCTCATTTCCATTTCAATTACACAGCCCAGTGACATTGCTGTGCATACACACAGGTACACACACAACTACATGTGCACGCACAGACCCAGCACATGCACACACACACTGTAAGCAATGAACTCCCATCAGCCACTTCTCTGAACTGTGCACCGGTGGTTGCAGACAGAAAGCAAGAAGGACAGGGACAGATAGCCAACCTGAGTGAAAAAGGAAGACAGAGAAAAGGAGGAGAGCAAGAGCTCGGTGGCAGGTAAAGGCAGAGAGCAATCCCAGTCATCTAACCAGCTGAATAGGTGAGATTTAATTTAAAAAAAGGAACTTTTCAATGGGCTGCAGTAGCAGCACACTGCTTCAAATGCCACTGCCCAAAGGTGCAGCTCAGAGGGTGAGGCGGGGAGTGATTACACAAGATATCAGTAGATTAAAAAGCTCCTATATGTAAAATTCTCAGTCGTCAGTGCTTGTCTTCAGTCCTTCATGTTGTTTCTTCTCTTAGATATAAAAGCAACAAATTAGAAATACAAGGTAATACCATGCAAGCCAACATGCACTTCTTAAGGTTAAGCCTTAGGGCATCTCTGGATAAAACGGCATGTTGTAAGAGAGACTGACGATGTGAAACTGTGATGACTTTACAGGTCGACACATGATGAATTCACTATGAGAAAATACTCTAAAGAATGTGAACTTTTTATGTATAAAGAAATGCCTAAAACAATCCTGCTTCATCTTC